ACCTGGTCCAGGCAGCCCTACCTCCAAAAAATCCTCCATAGCTATGGCCATGTCTTCAGGGCACAATGAACATGACAGCTTGACAGTTCAAGGTGAATCGACCGGTTTCCATCACAAGGCGTCCTCGGAAAACCTGTTGCACCGCTATGACCCTGGCAGCACTTCTTCCATGTTCTTTCAGTGGCACATGCCTGCTCGCTTTTTGACGGCCGTGAATGACTGTTTCGAGTCAGGGTTGGACCCTGCCAGACTCGCATTGACGCATCCACCCTTGAGGTGAGCCAAGAAAAAGGAATCCACAGCCGCGGCCCAAATGGAACGCTTAGAGCCAATTGGAGCTCAAATGTTCATGTTGGTTCTACAAACTCCAAATTTAAGCAAAATCTGGGCCACAATATGCCACAATCATAGCCAGGCCTTTCAAGCGGCAATGGTCTGGTAGCAAAAAATCCCGCTAGCCGACCAAAACTTGCCACAGAGGCTCAGGCTCGTGCTGGATCTGCTGGCTGAGAAAACGTGATGTTCTGCCAGCAAATTCTCCAAAAACTTCCACCAAACACTCCATAGAGGTCCTTGACACTGAGTATCACAGACACTATCAGACACTATCAAACACTCACACACACGCTTCTTTGGTGCGCTCCATCACAAGATCATCGGACGCTGGCGCTGGAGGTGCTGGTGGAGGGGCCACGTCCTCGGTCTTTGTTATGAAGTCATATTGCTACATATGGGCTTGTAATAAGCATGTCTATTCATAAGCATGTATATCAGCTTGTTTTTGCTTGTATATGTTGTTATGTCAGTGAATTTTCTTGCACTACTTTCTGCATATATGTTCCAGGCCGTGAACCCCCCCCCTCCCCCCCCCCCCAACCCCCCTGTGTTTGGTTTGTTACACCATTGATCTCCCGCAACCATTTGGCTCACGGCCCTCTTTGTAGATAGCACATTGCATTCATGCGATAGCAGTACAAAGGCTTGCAGACCGCTTGCAGGAATAACAGTCAATACAAGCCCCCAGGGACAATCCATCCTCCAATCATCCATATTGTTAAGGCATGTTGCACTGCTCCTAGCTTGAACCCAAACATGGAACCTCAAAAGAACAAAGCTCGTCCGAAGTGGCCGCAGTTCTTTTTACCGGGATTGCTGAAAGTTGCACTGCTTCCAGGGCACTAGTGCGCCTGGAGCAGGAGGCACATTGACCCCCCGAAATGTGAGAAGGCAAGACAACGCGTGTCCTTGCGTATAAATGCAGTGCTTGGGGGGCGCGGCATGCGTGCCCACGCCCCAAGGTCCGGAGACCGAAAGTCCGGCGGAGACCTGGTCCGGTGCCCGGAGGCCACCCATGAAAGTGCAGAGAAACTGCTACCTATCCTTGCAAAGCCTGGCATAGGGCAGTGCAGGGCGGGTGGGTGGGTTTCAAGAAATGAAACCGCAGGTTTGGGTCAAGGCTAGGAGCAAAACGGCCAACGCATAGTTCGATTCACCACATGCCCTAAACACAAGGGAAAAGAAACCCTAAGCGTTAAGGCATGTTGCACTGCTCCTAGCTTGAACCCAAACATGAAACCTCAAAAGAACAAAGCTCGTCCGAGGCGGCCGCAGTTCTTTTTACCGGGATTGCTGAAAGTTGCACTGCTTCCAGGGCACTAGTGCGCCTCGAGCAGGAGGCACATTGACCCCCCCTTCAGTGTTTCAGGCAACCCCGGTAAAAGCGAACCCGCTGGGCCGAAGGCCTCATCACCCGCCCTTCAGAGTGGGGTTGTACCTGGCAGGGCAGATGCTAGCGTGACCATGCTCGCTGGGCTGTGAGCAGCTTGTTATGCAGTGACTGCACTTTTGTCTGGTCAGAGCGGCTTGAGTAAGCGGCTGGCAGTTGAATGCCTCGGCCCGACATCGCTAGGCTTGCAGGGCTGAAGCATATGCGACTTTCAGGGCGATGGCTGAAAGGGCCAACCGACCTCTGCTGAGATCGTCAGCCCAATCATTGCACCTTCCTGGAACGTGCGTCGGCTGCAGCAGCACATTGTGAGCGTGAGCCCAGAAGGCTGTTAATTGCACGAAGAGTTGCAACGGCCAGGAGGTCGTGAACAACTTGTTAAGGCTTGCTTCCGTGGCGGAATTGTCTGTGCCTGAAGGCATGCTAAACGAGTAGTGCCCACCACCAATGTGGCTGTGGGTTGCTTGCAGCAGCGCTAACTGAGCCAGAGTTTCGAAGCATGCGATGTACCGCTGTCCTGGCTTGACAAGGCAAGGCCACACGGCTCTTATGTCTTGCATGTTCCAGGTCTCGGCGAACCACACCACTTGAGAGGATGTGATTGCCCAGCCCCCGATCCCTACCACACGCATCTGCGGCAGGCAGAGCTTGCAGCTGGTGTGCCAAAACCTGAATAGGCGAGTGTCGAAAGCACGACGCCAGCCAAGTAAGGCACTGTTGGCTTGACTTGGAAAGGCTGGTGTGGGTTGTTGGGGTCCGCGATGCGCACCCATGTGGGCTTGCTAGTGCCAGGCACTTGCGGGATGTCTTGGGGGCAATGCATGGTGCGGCCTGAAATTTCCAAGATTTTGGAGCCCACTGTGATCCACAAGCCCGGGAGGCTATGGCCAGTTTTGAGGTCCTTAGTCAAGGATGCTCTAAAGGCTGACCACATTTGCGGCGGTATCGAGTGCATCGAGCCTGGTGGGCTGTTGAGGTCCGCGTGCAGCGGTGCTAGCCAGGACCTGAGGTGTAGGGCAATGCTGGTGGCCCAAATAAGCAGGCCTATGCACTGCTCGAGTGTTTTGCGGGGCACCCGTCGATTTCCCAAAAGGGATTTGATCAAGGCGTCCAGCTTGGCTAGTTTAGCGGACACGAGCTGAATGGTGTCGTGAGAGAAGTTGATCTCCCAACCGCACCAAACCAGGCTATCCTGGAATTGCGCCTTTTTCCACGAAATGGGCGCTGCAATGTCACAAAAGAAGAGCACCACCAAGGCAAACATGTCTGGCGCGCTATCCCGGAAGAGTGCACACAGCAGGCCGTCCACAAAGAGGAAGGCTTTGTGGGGCTTCCAGGCTAGCAACCCATGCACCTGACGTCGCCAAGGGCCTGCAGAACATCTTCCACCATCCAACTTGTTGGGCACGGCTGTCGAACTCCGACTTGCTGTCAAGCAAGCTCATGGTAATGAGAACTGTAAACTCGAGCCGACAGCTAGAGAAGTGGGATCTGCACAAAACATGCACAAACTGAACATCAGGAAGGCTGCTCTAAGGTCGGAGCGCTCGGGCACTAGCCTACGCGGGCGCACAAGTATTCGTGCGTCGGCCGTCTCTTTTGCACGGCATTCGTGCAATTCAGATCTCGAGCTGGATCGGAGAACAAAGCAAAACTCTTTGTTCTTCAGCACTCGTCGTGTTTGCCAGAGGCATGGAAGCATTGCGTGCACCTAGGAAAGGGTTGGTGAACCAACTGGCCAACGCTCAAAAATCGGTCAGTCCGCAGAGAAGGCGCTCTTCAGAGTCGCCGCCGGCTATGTGTATGGTTCGCAACTTCTGCTGCTGAACCAACAGAAATGGAGGTTCAACGGAAAAGAACGGCTGCTTGAAGGCGGCCAGAGCCGCAGCCGGGCTTTCATCGGGGTCACCGAGGTCCAAGGCAAAACGTCGTCTGAAGACGACGAGTCGGAAGCGCTGGTCTGAGGTGACTGGGGGTCTGCCTGCCCCAGCGCAGACTCGGCGGTCATTGTGGTAGTGCCCGCAGACACGCCTTCAGAGCTAGGTTGAGGCAGAACTGCGGAAGCAGCGCCATCGCCTTCCTGAGTGCCGGGTTGATGCAAAGTACCCGGAGCGTGTGGTGTCTGGCGAGAAAGCCCCTGAAGCTATCAAAGAAAGGACCCGGACCAGTTCCCTCAAAGGCGGCGCCAGAAGGTCGCGAGAATAGGTGTTGACTGACAACTCCGTTGCGTCCACATGGTAGCCCAACAGCTTGCGCAGTGGGGGAGAGACTCCCGCCTTGGCTACCCAACTGAGGCAGGTGGCTTTGAGGGATCGACTGGTGGGTACTGGTTCTCCCGGCTTGGCAACCTTAGCAAGGACGGCGTTCACCTCTGACGTAGTGAAAGGCCTACTGAACGAATCAGTGGCGAGGCCTAGTCGTGCAAAAGGACCGCACTAGCATGCCACAGCGGGAGGGACATAAGTGCACTGCTGAAACGGCATCCGTTGGAAGTGCAAATCCGTTACAAACGACTGAGGCGGGCACACTGGCGATCAAGGAGGCCTTGGTACGAAGGCGTGGTGGAACGCAGACCGAACCCTGCACGCAACTGACGCACGCAATTGGAACTGTTAAAGTGGCAATCAGTCTCCAAGGGAAGGGCAAAGAAACAAGCTGCAGGAACAAAAGTGCACTGCCGGAGCGGCATCAGTTGGAAGTGCCATTCCGTCGCAAACGACTGAGGCGGGTACAACGGCGATCTCCTGCGCCTGAGCGGGCACACAAGGGTGCGACTGGCAAAAGGACAGGAAAAATTATGCAGGCTGCGGGCAAATTCAACATGGAAGGCGACAGAAACGGGCTTGAAAAGAAAATTGCGGGGGCGACACACTTTGAATCCCGCGGCGCGAGCACAAGGCGCAATCAACGCCTATGAGGGGCGCGTGTGCGCCGTGAGGAGCCCTGCTTTGGGGCGGACTTGGCAGCTCGGGAGGCGGCGGTAGTCGGCGGCGCTGCTGGCCTTGAGGAGGTGGCAGTGGTAGACGCCGGAGAGATGGGCAGGGCCTTGGGCTGGAAGGGAAAGAACGCGGTGATGGGCCGGCCCTGGCCGAGGAGATGCTGCGAGGCAGAAGAAGAGGCGCCTGGAGGAGCAGCAATAGGTGGGTCACAAACGGGGCCTCGGGCAGATCGGGTCCTACCACTGCGGTTGGTTTTGGACCATGTCAACGGGGCTGGTCCACTGACAAAGGAGTAGCCCTGCGGGGCGTGCTTGGGAAAGCGGCCTGGCTTTCACCTTTGGCGCAACGTAGTTGAAGGGGACCGCATGCGCCGCCATCGCCTGGGGACTGGACAGCCTGGCGGCGCGGATCTCTTCCAGGGCCAAGTAGCGGGGATCCTCCCGCTGCATGAGGGCCAGCTCCATGACCTGAGCAGCGGAATCCTCCTGGAGCTGTTGAGAGATGAGCTGATGGACCACCTGCGAATCCCCTTCCTCAGAAATACCCACCGCGCTGAAGGCGGGGATGGATCTCCTCCTCATCACTGGACTGATAGCACGCCAAACAGGTTCGGAGGATCCACAACTGGAGAGTCCTCCTCACTCGAAACGTACTGAGCCAGGGGGCCTGAGATGACGAGTGCGGAAGCAGAAATGGGGTACTGAAGCACGAGCCGAAAGCTGAGGCAAAGAGCGGATCAAAGGCAGGAGCATGAATCTGAACAACTGGCGGGCAAGTCCGAGAGGCAGCAACTGGGAACCGGGCGAGGGACCTGGCGGCAGCAAAAGCTGAGAAGCCTGGGCGAGGCACAGGGCAGACGGGCCAGTTAAGAGCTGGAGCCGGAAGTTGGGGTACCTAAGCCCAGAGAACCTGACAGGAAATAGGCAAGGACAGCGGGAAGAGCCAAAAAGTGACTGTCAGGCAACGTGCACAATCCAACAAGAGGCTGTGCACCACACTCCAAGGCCCGGACGGAAGAGGAAGTCGATGACCTGGCGGCAGGCGAGGCAACACGAAAAAAAAGGGGGGAAGCCAACCCCTAGGAAAAGGGGGGATGTGAAAACCAAGTCACACTGAGGGCTCAACGAACATGCGCCTGAGCAACGCACGAGAGCCGAAAAGAAAAAGGAACGGAAAATCAACTCCAAACAACAACTCGCAAAATCGTGCAGGAGAAAATCTAAGGCCCTGAAATTGGAAGGAAAGCAAGGTTTGAGCCTCAAGCTGCAACTCAACAGTTAAGGGCACCAGTATAACGCCGCGAGTACAAGCACTAGCAATCCTTTGAGCCGCAGTGCCAGGGGGTTCCGTACCCCCTGGCACTGCAAGTTCTGATGCATCAGAACTCGCAGTGCCAGGGGTTACCCCCCATTTTCGAGTCCCGAGTGCCAGAGGGTTCGGAACCCCCCGGCACTTGGGACTCGAAATGGGGGGGTAACCCCCGGCACTGCAAGTTCTGATGCATCAGAACTCGCAGTGCCATGATGCATCAGAACTCGCAGTGCCAGGGGGTTCGGAACCCCCCGGCACTCGGGCTGTCGGGCCCAAAAGAGCCCGAGGACCCGTTTGAAAAAGCATAAACGACTTAGACTCAAAAATCTAGTGCGTCAGAACTCGCAGGGGCCCGAAATCTAGTGCGTCAGAACTCGCAGGGACCCAAAATCTAGTGCATCAGAACTCGCAGGGGCCCAAAATTCTGATGCATCAGAATTGTTCATTTGGCAGACACAGGGAGCAACACCAAAAACCAGGCTTGCGTGGCAGAAAGCGCTCAAACAAAACTCCCACAAAATGGAGGATTTTTCGGCTGACCGGACCCGCGCATCAGCCGGGACAAGGTT